GCATAAGTTTAATGATCTTTTTTTAAATGCACCCTGATGTAGTGTACACTTTTGATAATTAGTATTTGTCAGAGTGTTATTACACACTTTAACCCAACATTGGGTCAAATATCCACACACTTAGTTATTAGTAGTTAGTCATTTTCAAAAAATTCATTTGTAAAAATTACACCAAGTTGGGTTTGTTGATATTTGACCCAACCTTTGGTTAAAATAACCCAGTGTTTGTTTGTTTTTTTAGCGTGTACTTGTCTGACTCTGGTTCTGAACGGTAATTAAGCCTTCAAATGTCAAGACACTGCTGATTTCCTTCACTGCTTCTCCATCACACTTCATCTGCTGTACTTCAGGATCGATCACAGACTCGCTTGGGATGTGAAACATAACAAAGCTAGAAATGCTCGTTCTCCCCTTCGTGTCTGTCAGTATTTGTGTTTTTGGCGCCAGGTTTCCACTCCTCCAGCACAAAAGCGCTTGATGTTTTCAGAGCGGCTCTCCGTCACTCAAGCATTGCTGCCATATAAACACATAAAGCCAATTCAGCCTCAGTTACTACATAAACACAGTGATCGGGTTGCGTTCTTGTGTTTCACTGCGCGTTACGTGTAAGAACTGCGTCTGTCAGCATTCCAGAGACCTAGGCTTGATATGCATGACAGAAGCACAAAACCCAAAGGAAGAAGCCAGAGATTGACCCCAAAACACTGCGGAGTGCTGGAGGAAAGGCACTTTACGTAGTTTCAGTACACACACGCGTCAGACAAGTGTTTTTTTTAAGACTGTCTGTCAAGTTAAAATGAGTTGGACTTTTATAAAAGTGTGCTTTGACCATGCATTCTCCTGCAAATGATGTTGAACAGATTCAGGAATTTTTCACAGTATGATTTTTTCTTCTGGAGAAAGTCTTATTTGTTTTATTTCGGCTAGAATAAAAGCAGCTTTTAAGTTTTTTTTAAATCATTTTAAAATCAATACCATTAACCCTTTTAAGCAATATTTGTTTTGAATTGTCTACAGAACAAACCAGTTATACAATGACTCGCCTAGCTTGCCTGAGGGGCCGATCACACCGAACGCGCATTTACGTTACAAAAATGCGAGGCGCACCACACTATCTTGTTCTTGCAGTTGCTTTTTTATGTCACAAGGCAACAACTTGATCAGCTGGGTATTGTGCGAGAGTGCTGCTGTTGATATTAATATAATTTAAACAATTATTAGTATTGTCATATTGAAGATTTGTGAAGTCATACAGCACCGCATAACCACAGGTCTCTCCTCCATCTTCAAAAGTCTCCATAGTCGTCTTGACAACACAAACACTGCAGGCACTTCAATGGAAACCCCGCCTCTGCTTTCCTTTGATCAGAGAGTGTAAAAGATGCAAGTGACGTAACACTATTTTTTTGGTCAGAGTCATTTTTTCAACTGCGAGCGCACGGCACAAGGGCAAAAACGCAAGGCGCAGCAGGCGGGTAAAACGCGAGGCGCACATGGTGCTTAATTAGCGTGTAAAACACTCACCACTGTTAGTAAACCATTCAAAAAAGCGCCTCTCAACGCAAAAAGCGTGTTTGGTCTGATCGGCCCCTGATTAACTATTTGCTGACTTTGTAAGTGTAAAAACTGAACGCTTCACTAGTGAGAAAACAGTTAAACAGAGCATCTGCAGCGCGAGGATAAAGAACGAGCCTCCTCCATTCAGCCTTTTTACTTTCTCTTTACTTTTACTCTTTACTTCTTTACTTTGGTAATTTTTTTACTAAGGAAATTGTGGAAACTCACTCCACTGAACAAATCTATTAGTCCACATAATTAATTTAGTTTGTTAAACACAAAGATGTGTCAAAACTATTTCTAAATTCAGTTTCTAATCCCCAGCAAAGGAATAAATAAACAATAATAATAAAGAGTGCTCAAAAAAGTTACATCCAAACACACGTCCTGTTCTTATGCCCCATATGATGATGCAGACGCCTCCAAAACCCCACAGCTGGACAAATCTACACTGGTTTTTATTAAAACAAATATAAATATGCAGATAATAAATAATACTGATAATAATAATAACGACATTATACAGATGCTGATTGTCATGAATAAACGGAAAATCAATGCGCCTTAACACACCTCCTTTATAGACCAGCACACCGATGAGTCCACAAAGTGGCACAAATGGATTTGCTATAACAACTTGGCGCAAAAAAAAAAAACCCTACAAATCGTCCCAAACACGTCTTGTGCCTTATTGCGCCGGGTGTATAATAGGGCCCTTTACTGTATGTGAAGACACTTTTATTGTATTAAAAGTTTCACATTATACCACAATCCATGAGTCAGTTAGGAATTGGTCATATTCCATTAATTTATTTAGTTAGTTAGTTCATTCGTTAGTAGTTAGTTATTAAGGTTAGTTTGTCAATTAGTTAAATAATTATTAAGTTGGTTTATGAAAAAAAATAAATATATATATATATATATATACGTATTAAAACTGTCCAAATGTGACGGTTTACACGCATAAGCTGCCGACTGGAAGTTCTTCTTCAAGCATTCTCCTTGCACATACACACAAAGCATAATTGGTAATTTTGTATTCTAAGAAACTTTATTTTATATATATATATATATATATATATATATATATATATATATATATATATATATATATATATATATATATATATATATATATATATATATATATATATATATATATATATATATATATATATATATATATATATATATATATATATATATATATATATATATATATATATATATATATATATATATATATATATATATATATAAATATATAGAGATACATATATATGTACAAAGATATATATAT